ATTATATTTTCTATTAATAAATACAGAGTTAAATGAAATATAATTCATTGCAAGAAGAAACCATTAATAGTAGTATAAATATTGCAATCTATTCACGAAACATTGTCCTTTAATTAATGTAGTATTAAAGTAGTATCATATTTCTATATTTTTATCTCAAGACAAAAATGGATATCTCTTGCTAGTCTTCCAATATATTTATAAAATTCTAAAATGTGTTTTAAATCAGTCATAGAGACAATTATATTTTCTATTAATAAATACAGAATTAAATGAAATATAATTCATTGCAAGAAGAAACCATTAATAGTAGTATAAATATTGCAATCTATTCACGAAACATTGTCCTTTGATTAAAATAGTATTAAAGTGTCGTGTCGTGAAGTATCAAACTTTTCTCCGTATTCAAGTAGTTGGTAAGAATTTGTAGCGTCTCGAGTTTTCCTCAGATTTCGTTGAGAATCCTGATGGCCACGTGAATGGATACCTCGAGATTAACCGTGAATCAGTGCACGTTCTCGATCTTCCTTCTGATTAAGATCGCGCTTTTTCGCGAAGCTCTACGACAAATGTATTTGCGTTCGAATTGATTTGAAAATTAAAAAGTTTATCGTCGAATTCCAGTCTGTTCTATAAAAATGTGCCAAACTTGTTGATCGATATCGTCAATATTGTTGGCACGGGTGGTTCGAACAGTCTTAATTTTTAATAAGATCACCATCAGGGAACTCTTCCGTAATGGAGGCGAAAAAGTATCCAACTTTAGAAAATTTATTATATATTAAAAATTAATACTATAAGCTCCTTAATAAATTTTCCACTGTTCGTTACATATTGCTTCTCATCGTCAGTATTTTTCCTTTATTCAATTTAGCAGTTTCACGACCATATGGATTGCCCCGGCAATCGATTACACGTATTGAACTTAGCTATGTGTATCGTAATTAATTCGATACACGATGGCGTAACAATTTCTAATTTCATCCCAGAACCGAGCGCAGATAATTAACGAAGATCCTTATTAACTTCCATTTTCCGAGGGATAAAATCATTAGAAAATTCGACGTAATTATTTTTTGCCCAACAAACTCCCAAATATTTAACATTCATTTGCAAACGTAAACGATAACGAAATAAATTCTGCAAAAAATGTTCACGTAGGAAAAATACAACGAAAATAATTTTAAACATTGACATGCTTCTGACGTGTGGAATATAATTTAAATTTAGATTAGAAATATACACGTACACAAAAATTATTCCTTGCATTATTAAAATTTCTCTGTACCGAGCGAGGCAATACCAAGTTATTACAAGTTATTTTCAGAGATGCAACAAAATTTTGATAACAAAAATAATAATAATTTTTTGACAGTCTTTCAGAGATTTCAATGTCAATTTTACTTTTTTAATTCAAGGTTATTTTGTTATATTTTTGTCGAATTGGGTCTGGTTCGAATAACTGTGGAACAATTCGCGAAATGCGCGTCGCGACGTTTGGTATTTCATATGAACGTCCGGGATCATTTTACTCGTATGAAAAATGTTCGTGTCCAATGCGTTTGAAGAAATCCTGGCCGTTCAAAGACAAGCTGGAATGAAATAGCGTCGACAGCCAGCTATTAAGGTCAACAACGGATTTCAGGAAAAATCGATAGACCGGATAGAACGACCCTCGATGAATATCGGCCTGTTGACAATCAAGGGCTGCATACAAGAACGGGGTAAGCCTTTTTTTAAAATTCTGTTCATTATCTTCACCTAAAGCCACAGTGCATATAAAGAAGACACGAATGTCTGTTTTCGTTCCAAAGACGTGCTCGACTTTATTCGAAATGTCTGGTTGAAATATTTTAAACGTCATTCCTTTCGTTCTTTCGTAGACGAAGTCGAACAAATTTTATTCGAACTCGTTTCCGTAAACCGTGAATTTGAACGTTTAACGTAACTTTTTGTCAAAATAATTTTTACAGTCTGTTTCTAATCATCGACAAACAAATAATAATTCACAACTTTTGCTCGATCCGATCAGCTTGTTCCTCGATCCTTACGTAGAATTTTTTTAACGATATTGGAACATGGACGGACAATATTTAAAAGGATTTGGAGATTAAAGGGGATTTTCGAAACTCTTTTCCCAACCACACTAAAATTACAAGGATTAGTCACTTTGTTGCATTAAAGCCACCCCGGAGCTTAATCCTTGCACGTGAATTGGACTCAATTACGCGAACCGGTTCGTTTCCAAACTTTTAACGCTACAATCTTAGTTTTCAGACAACCTTCTCGTCACTATGTACACACATATGTGTACAAATATTATTTACAGTAGTACAAGTCCTACGAAACTTTCTTAGATTTCCTTTTCTACTTTTTTAATTAATAGGAACACATACAAATTAACATTAACACGAATTTCAGACTGTTGTTTACGTATTGATTAGACTAACAATAAAGTGTACGTGGAAATTCTACTTTTGAAACAGCTCTTTCGAGATGCAACAATTCTGGTTCGAAACGTCGAAACGTAAATAAAGAAACGGGGAATAGCAAACGACGTTTCCAGCAATCAGTATTATTTCAGCACCGCGTCGAAAACTATATTTTTGCGATTGGTTGCTGCTGCATCCGGGATTAAATTTTAAAGCTGAGCGAAGTGTTAGCGAAATTAAATTCGCTTTTAGTAAAGTGCTTTGATACGAGATGAAAAATCCAAATATCAACTACCGAACGAACTGAACAAATTTTTATCGAGTCGAGTTCCACTGTATATTTAAACCCGCCAGGGTGGGGGGGAAAATAACACACGCGTAATAACCATCGATAGGTACGGCGGGAACATAGAACGATTAATATGATTCTTCAGCCCTTTGACCGCCCGGTGCACTCCGACCCAGAACCATCAATATTCTACGATGCGATATTTACTCGATAACAGCTGCAAATCATTGGCACGCGTCGTAATTTCTAATTATCATATTCTTAATTTCTGATTTTACTCGATTTTTTCAACAGTGCGATATAAACACAAATCTTTATATATTACTATCACTAGATTTACGGAAGTCGTCAATTTTACGGATGTCAGATTCCATATTTAAAATTGCAGAACGCGTAAATATTATTTTTTAACAACTCATGTTGAATTTGTTTGATGCAATGGCACGAATACATAGTCTAATTAAAAGAAAAATCATATTTTAAGGTAATCGTCAACATGAAAGGTATCAATAAATTGTTTTGACTGAAACCAGCATTCGTAAATCGAATTTAAAGGAATAAATTTTGTTTGCTCTTAGGTAACAGACACAATTTTGATTTTTTTCGTTCGACCCTCGACTCTCGAGATTAATTGGCTTCCACGTATCGAAATTTAGGGAAAAGATCGAGACTTTGCTTGGAGGAAGCAGCAAGCAATTCGAGCACTTAATAACTGTTCGATAATAATACGATTACGCGCCATGTACAAGGAGCTGCGTCTGCGACAGTGTATGTTTACTGTTTACACTGGGTCGCAAAGTATCACTGGAGTTCGTTAATGGTTGTCTTACCCTCTAATAGAGAACATTGTTACATCCGAGATCGACTTTCTAAGCAAGTTACCGAGGGAAAGAAACTGGAAGGAAATATTATATGGTGACACTCGAGCCACTATCGTATTATGTTTGCTTTCTGGAAAAAAGATACGGTAAAATAGTTGCATATTGATTTCTTGCAGGCGATTTGTTTCAAAATCACAATAATAAAGGATTTAATTAAATTTCAAATATGCACTCTATGTTATTATTTATGATATAAAGTGTGTTTGGAAAATCGTGACGACCATTACGCCAAACACACTATATATGTTTATATACGCGTACTGTAAATATTTCTGATATCACTGGAAAGCTGATAAATAACAAAAGGAAACGTTCACATTGTGCAGAAACGATGACATTCGTTTGAATAATTTCTAATTAATATTTAAATGCACTTAGGCAGACGTAGACAGACGATATCGAACACGTTTACAACCTTTGGATCGTTGACCATGCAATCAAATAGACATCCACGAGCTAATGTCACATTAGTCACGGTGTCCTGTATATTACAACCGATCAAAATGGATTTACGCACCATCGAACAGACCCAGTACAAAAACTTCGGTGTTATTATTAATGCCACACGCATTACACATGAAATTCGACAGAGTTGTTTTACGATGGCCGATAAATATCAAACCTGCAAACTTTGTTGCTCCCTGTAACGTTCTTACTGTTTAATCGCTTTGTCTAATTAACGAACGGTCCGTAAAACTAGTTTTACGCGTATCGAGATTCCTGGGGGCAAACAATCGTACGAACCATAAGCTTTTCCCCAGTTTAGTCCCCCAATAATTCCCAGGATCGCGTCGAGATTAGTAGCAACTACCGAACACACGAAACTCCCATATATTTATACTTAATCTCGCGTTAATCGATGCATAGGTACAGATTTAGAAAATGATCTCGAGCGACAAACGATCGTCCAACAACCACAAAATGCTCACTTAGCAACACCACCGGTACGGTCGAAACGATTTACTACAATTCCCACATTCTGTTCTCCCATCGTGTCCACTTTATCTTTTATTCCACAAAGATCGTGCAACATTCTATTCCATCGATCATCGCTTCTCGCGAGGACAGACACGTCCTCGCTGAATATCGTCAACTTCCATCACCTTTCCTCAAACAACTTTACGTATCAATCCCGTGCAAACAAGCTCCAATTTTCAAACCTTTGCCCAACGGGGGTAGCGTTAAAATCTGTTCGAAACGCGAATCGCGAGCTACCCCGTCGAACTGGGCCGCGATTCGCTGCTAACCTGGCGGCCCCAGAGCCCCGAATCCGGAAATTTATAATAAACTCGCGCGTCCTTGGATGTATCGCCTCGTTTCTCGGTCAATTAAGCAGTCGACGGTCCAACCCTCGCTAGCTCCGAAAACATCGTCGAGCAATAGTGTGCGCGGACTTACGTGAGACAGCCCTGGTCCTCCACTCCCCCAAAAAAAGGATCTCGACAGGTGCGTGGCGACGAGCACTGGCACTGAACGCTCGAGGAGACACACGCGTAATTCGCGTACGAGCCTGTATAGTCTTTCAGACACTGGGGAAACGAGAGGAACGACGGAGGAAAAATAGGATCGCGACGTCTCCTGCGGCTGCGACGAACGAAGGCTCGTTCGTGACTGCTTAAAGACCAGTCGGTTGTGCAGCTGGGAGCGGGGCGTGCGCCCTCCGCAAAATCAAACTTTGCCTCCACTCGAGGAAATCCACCACGGATACAGGCTCTGCACCGCGCGCGTACCGAGCCTACGATGTGCTTTTTCTCCACCGTTACTCGTGGACCCGTCCGTCGGAACGGAACTGGAACGATCTCCAATATTTTAAACAATCAAATGCAACAGGATTTTTATTTAAATTTGTATTCCTCAACGACGAACCAAAATCCCTCGCGAACCACGACGCTTTGACTCACTGTGGAGCTAAAGAAATTAATTCTCGAATTTTTAGGGCTACGCGAAACTCTGACGAGAAGTCGAAGAAAATTTCGTGGTATGTTTATTGTAAATTATGGGACGACCTAATATTAGACGTAGATAAAATTTGTAATTTAATAGAGGGCAAACAAAATTTGTTAATTCAGGAGATATCGAAATTTTAAATATATCAACATCATTCGTAGAAATTTGAATGAAATAGTTATTGTGTCAAAACTCGAAGTTTGGAATCTACACTGGTCCAAGAATGAAATTTTTGAGCCTGATTGCACGAATATTTTTATTAGCATGTAATAAAACCGAATCTTATAAGTGGACTGTGGATATTATATAAAAGATCACAAAATGCACTAAACCCCTTGATATACGATTTAAGTTCAAATCATTTTTCAAACTTGTACAATATACAGAATGTTTAAAAAAATTTTAATGGGAGATTGTAGAGGCCAAAATAAGACGAAAATCAAGAATATCAATTTGTTGATGGAGGCTTCGTTAAAAAGTTATTAACGTTTAAAGTTCTGCTCGTAATGAATTTTTTTCTAGAAAGAGGGTAGGATTTCGGGGGTAGGTCTATTCACCAAAAATTATTGTAATTGACCTCCGCAACCGAAAATAATTTTTTTAGAAGGATTTGAAATTTTTTAATTTTGTCGAAAAATTTAGGCACCTACCCCCTGTCGGTTTCTGATTTTTAGTCATTTTGTTTGACGCCTTACAGAAAAGTAGTCTAATACTTTTTTATAGGTACCAATGAGCTCTAATTCAGAAAAAAGTTTCATTGAAATATATTCACTATTGTAGGAGTTATGGCTGTTTGAAAATTGGACCATTTTTATGGGGTTTTTCTCATTTGGTGGAGTCAAGAAATAACTTTCCCAAAAATTTTAGAATTTCTGTATATTCTTCACTAAAATACGCATCGAATGCTTTTTGAAATATTAAAATCCTCCAATCCGTTCAGGAGTTATGACATTTTAAAGATTCGTATGAAATTTCAGGGGAGCATTTCTGGTCTCGCATTAGATTTTTGTTAAAGAATTTTTTTCTCGAAAGTGTGTAGGATATCGAGGGTATGTGTATTGACAAAACATGATTGTAATTGAGCTCCACGCCCAAAAATAATTTTTTTAGAACGATTTGAAATTTTTTAATTTTGTTGAAGAATTTCATATCTTCTCGAATTTTTTTCTCGAAAGTGAGTAAGATTTCGGAGGTATCTGTATTCACCAAAAATTATTGTGATTGACCCTACTAGTTAAAAATAATTTTTTCAGAATGATTTGAAACTTTTTAATTTAATTTTTTAATAAGTTTTTAATAAAGCCTCAGTCAAGAAATTAATATTCTTGATTTTCGTCTTATTTTGGCCTCTAGAACACCCTGTATACTATAATAGTACAATATAATAGATTTGTTTTACGAATAAAAGTGTGTTGATTTTAATATATGAGACTCGATGGCGAGTGGCCTCATAATTGTGAAACTTGGCATCAAGAACTTGATATGCAAAATAATATGCAAAAATATAAAAAATACTTAAAGACACGAATTATTATATGTAGGGGTCGATACAACCCTCTACAAAGCTCCCATTTCATTAATTCCATTAACAAACATATGAATTTCCACAAAGATCAGCAGTCTATTTATAAAAAATAAAATACAACTCCAGGCCCATTACTGGCTAAACAATTTCAAAATGTCAATGTTTTAATGATAAGCATCGAACAACATTTTCATAAAATTCCATTTACATGTTTAAAATATTGTTCCAGTACAAAACTCGGAACACACGACCTAATATAACTCGTCAGACTCGTCACTCAATTGCAGGGGATTAACCCCCTTGTCACGAAATATGTGACGCGCGGTGGCGATCGGTTGAATTATTCGAATAGTTCCGGGTCCTAATATAGATAGCACCCACGCGTTTATCCGTTGATATCCAGTTTGAGTACGTAGTTCCACTCTATCGGATTACATCTGATAAAACAGATACAGGACTCTCGAGTGTTTAAGCACCGGTTGGTAGCAAACAAAAAAATATTCACCGAAGGATAGGAGGCTTCCTTATTGGCTCGCGTCCCGATATTCGCGATGCACGCAATTAAGCGATACTCGGGGTCTCAGAATTTCTGCTCCTTGGTGGCGTACAACCACCGGTGCCGGACTAAGGGAAATCCATAGCTGGAGGCGAGAAGTGTTCCCAATTACCTCGTGGTACCCCTCGCGGAACAGTTCGCCCGAGTTCTCAACAGCGTGTCCAACAAGTCTTTGTCTTCTCGTATATCTCACGGGCACTCGGACACCCGGATATTCTCGGATAACCAGTTCAAATCAATAGCCCCAGATGCAATAGCTCGTACGAATTGTATTCATCGATCGGCTCCACTTTCCTTCGGGGGTAAAAAGAAACGAAGGACGGGGACGATAAATCTCGCAGCCTTCGATCCCCTGGCTTTGTCTATCCGATATGTACGATTAAGGACGAAGGGACGAGAATAATTCTTATCGGTCGTGACGGTTACGAATACTTTTCGATGGGGTCGAGCCCCAAATACAGGGGTGGAACATTCCGAGCTTCGTATTTAAAGCGTTTTGAAAAAACGACAGAATTAATTTACTGCATTATCTATTGGCAAACGATGCAAACGTCGGTCGTACCAATGATAACAATTTCGTACGGGCGTGCTATTTTTAATGTTCCACTCTCTGTAGAAGTAGAACCGACTTGCTCGCCCAAGCACTGTTTACTCTTAAGGGTGCTCGGTATTCGTAGCTTTTACAGTTCCCCGCGAAGATGAAAGACGAAAGCGAAGAGTGCTCGCGTAGCCCCTAAGAAACAATTGCCGGCTCTAATTGCATCAGAACTTTCTATGATTTCCGCCCCGTGAAATAATTTCTGAGCAAAGTTTATCCGGCGCGATGACGTTGGTTCCATCCTGTTTCGTTCGTTCGAGTGCGAAAAAAACACTGTTCGAAGCCGGCACCGCAGTCTTCGCCTTTAAACGAAATTAAATGGGACGCTTAGGCGTGCTCTTCTAATTAAAAATGAAAATTTAACTACTAGTAATTTACAAACTTTCTTGAAGGAATACTTTTAACAGAAGAGGAGGGAACAATTACATTCGAAGTTTGTAAAGAAAAACGTATTACTTTATTTTAATTAATTTAAAATTAAGTTGTTCTTATCGATATCGATTAGTTGAATTTCTTACTCGAATGTGAAAGATTATTTAAAGAGTAAAGGTAGAGAAATTTTTGGGGGAATAAAAAATTTGAAATCATTCCGAAAAAATTATTTTTGGCTACGGAGGTCAATTACTAGCATTTTTGGTGAAGAGACATACCCTCGAATTCCTACGCGATTTTGAGAAAAAAATTCAAGGTGGACAAATTTTTCAAAAATTTCAAATCGTTCTAAAAAAATTATTTTTGGTTGCAGAAGTCAATTAAAATCATTTTGGGTGAAGAGATATACCCTCGAAATCCTACGCGTTTTTGAGAAAAAAATTCCTTACCGAAAATATAATTTGTAGCCAAAAATGTTTTTCAGAAATTTTATACGTACGTTTAAGAAGTATGGATATAGTTACAAGAATCCTGAGGAACCTTCAATAACGAATATCAAAAATCACCAATCACCAATGTTTAAATTATCTAACGACCTGGAGTACGTAGGATTAAATGATATCTGCTTCACCCAGCCACTGTCTATAAAAAACACGAATTCTCTCGTTAATTTGATCGACGAAATGTGCCATGCTCCACTTTATACGGCTGCTTCTTAAAAATAAATATTGGGTACTCGCATACTTCAGTATTTTAATGAGATGCTGTACCTAAGACGCGATGGGACTACTCAATGATGCTCTAATTATCTCCGAAAATTCAAAGAGGCAATAAGTATCACGTTATAGGAAAGTTTGCTCGTTTTCGCGCGTCATATGACATATTAAATAAATGTCAACATTTCTGAAAGCAACTTGACAATTATTTGCGAGCTTTACTGCCTCTGTACAAGATCGTTAAAAAGCTAATATTTTTTCCTAATAATAGAGAAAATAACATACACAAACAATTATTAAACGTCTCAAATGTTATCGAGAATATATGCACTTTCATTAAGTTTCGTCGATCAGTTCTCGAGTTATCGTGTGCAACAACATGACTCATAATGACGCCATTGTTTCCGTTATAAATAAACATGGCCGCTTAAAAAAAATTGTTTTCAAAAGTGCAAGAAATACTTCGTACATGGTGAATGGATCGTTTCAAGCAAACGCACACATTTTCTGTAAAAAATTCGCGAAGGTACCGCTCGTTTGGTGCAACCACTTGGCCGTCTGAAAGTATTTGGACGTTCGACGAAGAAATAATTCGACGAATCCCGGTCATAGTTCGACGCCAATGTTACGAGGCGGTCTGTATAGGAAGTTTGCCTCGTTTCAGGGGCACGTTACCACGCAGCCTTGCGTTGCACGCTGCGTTTCGAATGGTATGTAGGGTAATGCGCGTCTATAGATGAAAATTCGTGGACGGCCAAGGTATTGTACCTGAAGCGTTCGCTCTAGAATAGCGTCGGCATTGATGAAGCGCGCGAAGTCATGATCAATGTTCGGACATTGGCCGTCGTTTACTTTCGTGCACGC